TTCATCAAAAATCAAACGAAAATCATTTATATTAATTCCATAGTAAATCTTCCGGCATAAAACAAAACTCTTCAAAACTAACATAATTTTCTAAATTCATGGTTCGTTAATCTAACTTATAGCCTTTGTTCTTAAATCTTGGTAACAGGATTCTTGAAGGTTTGTTTTTTAAACCTCTTTCTCATTAAGATTCCATTGAATATTTTTACCAAAATATTGTAGTATCTCCTATAACTATCCAAAATTCAATAAATACCTTTTCAAAATCTAAAGATCGTATTCTTTAGAGTTAACTATGCTCCAATTTTTATAAATCAATATATGATATACCTCATTCATATTCATTTTTCTCTTCAAAACCAACTCCATTAAACTTCCTAATTTAATAAATTATCAAAACAACCTAAGCATCCTTCATTAATGTCTTCATATTTAACTAAGATCATCTTACCTACTCTAATGCATATTACTTGATCAAATTGTCTATTTCTCTTATCTCGCATCTTAATAATTCATTATATTTACTTTTCTCATTCCTAAATACCTTGTCTGTTATGTAAATGATCAAATGTCATTGCTTTTGTTTTTCTCACTGCACTTATTTTAACATAATTCAGCAATCTTACAATAATTAAAAGTCTTAATAATATTTAATTTTTGCAGCTCTTTAAAAGCATATATTTCCTTAATATTGTCTTGTATTGGTTCATTCCAACATCAAGTATCCTTATTAGTGTCTAGCCTATCTATTTCTAGACTCTCCTAAAATTTATAAGCCAATCTTCTTGAAAGAGCAAGCCATATTATCTCACAACGAATTTGACTAAACTAAAAAGTTCCAATTTACATCCATCAATAATATTTCTTGAAGCTTAATAATCAAATCTCAAATTTTACCACCTCATCCTAAGATAATTCTTTATTCTAATAGTTCCTTTATCATGTTAAAATACGTTGTATGCTTAAGGATATTGCAAATTTAGTAAACAACTGATTAAGTTCATGTTATCAACAAGGTATGTCCAAATTATATGAGGCATTAGTAATACAATCTTTATTCCAACTTGTTCAAATTGTAAGCCTCCAATTTAAAATCAAAAGAACCTACAAGAGGCTAGGACATAAATATCACACTTTAAGGTTGACGATTCTTATTTTTGTGATAAGTTTTTATTCTAGATTGTTTGAATTGTAAGTCTACAATTTAAAATCAAAGGAATCTACAAAAGCCATGGATTCGATTATTTCATTTTAAAGTTGATGCTTCTAATTGTTGCGAGACCGATGTAACCTTTCTTATGAGGAGCATTCCCTTGTCATTAGTGCGAAATATATTCACAAGCTGCATAATTATTCATACATAGTAAAACACATAATATTTTCATCTTCATTTTAATTGTGAGTAGATATCAATTGAGTATATTAATTATGAGAAAGTTACATGTGATTTTTTTGTTTTGCTTTGTTTATTATGTATGGTACCGCATAAGCTTGGATTCGAATCTTTCACTTTAAGGTTGATTATTCATATCGTTGTGGCATAGATGTAACCTTTCTGGTGAGAAGCATTCCCTAGATATTAGCGTGAAATATATTCACAATCTAAATAATTATCCATGCAAAGTGAAATAGTTGTTATTCTCATCTTTATTTTGATTGCGAGTAGATATCAGTTCAGTATATTAATTATAAGAAATTTATACATGATTGTTGTTCTGCTTTGTTTATTACGTATGGTGTTGCATTGATTTAGTGTTCATATCATTAATAAAGCTTGTATCAAATTAAGATTTGACTAAAAAGCATTGCAAAAAGATCATGCTCGTTGAAATAGATGCTTGATGAACATGACCATTGATAGACCCTTTTAACAAAAAAAAATACTAAATAACTTGGCCAACGAGACCGTAACTCAGATTGATGATTCATTAGAAAGGGTTTGATTGATTCCATTATGTTGGTGGCAACCTTCCACTAGATTCAAATTTCTATGAAGACATGCAAATACAATATAGCATGAACATTTCTTGAGTCATCAACATAAAAAATTATAGTGTGGATGATCAGACATTTCGAAATTGTTCGTATTGTCATTTTTATCAGCAGATGTTGTTTATGAACCCTTCTATAAAAAAGTTATTAACTATTAGTGATTGTCATTTATCAATAATCATTGCAAGCATTTCAAAACTTGCTAGCTGACATTTCAACATTTAGAAGTAATGCTCGTTGACATTTTTGCCATCTGCTTGTATTGTCATCATTATTAACAGCATATTGTCAATAGAAATTTAAACATATTATGTAATGTAAATTATTACTTTATATTTTTTTTAAGTGGGGGGTGATCAAAAAGCCTGTGACTATAGCCTATGACTTAAGAGAAACAATCTTCTCCTCTCACTAAAACGCAGATTGTTTCAATAAATGTTGTAATGGTTAAAACAAAATTTCATACAAATATCATGACATGACAAATACAAACTCGTGTCAAAATTTTGAGGAGCTCATTCACTGGTTGAAACTAGCATATCTCATCTACTAGTTAGAACAGTTAAGACATAGCTATAAGTTCATCTCTTTACTTACTATGGATCCCGTCGTACTTCATCCAAAAAGACGACTAAGTGAAGTAGATTTCACAAAATTGGTAGTTGAACCATGAATTCAGAACAACTAAGTTGATATGTTTCGGTTCATTTCCATTCCCATTCAGATTTTCAAAATTTAAAAGGATCTTATAACACCGAATGCTTTAGGAATTTTGGCAGGATTTGAATCAAAACGAAAAATTAATCAAATATGGAATAACGCATGCATAAGAAAAGCAGGACGTAACAAAGTAAAATGCAAGAGAAGAGACAAAAAATTAACAGGAAAAACTTTAGAAATGAAACAAGTGTTTAGAACATTTTATAGGCATCATAGAAATTTTAAGATGAATAGCAGAGAACAATTTTATGAAAGTATGAAAGACAGTAATAACAGTGCTGCATTTTTGCAACATAAAAGTTTGTGATAAGCATTTCAAAAACAATGGCTCTAAACAGCTGTTGAATAGATTCTGCAGTGTTTATTGTCATATGCATGATAGGTATCCGAGAAAGGAAATTAAAAGCAATACACAACAACAACGAGCCTTTATCCCACTAAGTGGGGTCAGCTACACGAATCATTTTTCTCCATTGTATCCTGTTTAATGTCATATTTTCATTTAATTCTACAAAATAAGATCACTTTTATACAACATGCCCAAGTCTTTCTGGGTCTAACTCTAGCTTTTTTTAGCATAAGTCAAATCTAAAACATATAGTCTTTTGGGTTATTAGATGGTGAACTTTTACTATGAAAGAACCATCTAAGACGACTCTTTCTAATCTTGTATGTCACTGAGGCTACTCCAGCAGCACTTTCAAGGATATATTTATTTTGCATTTTGTCTCTAAACATAAAATCATTCATCCACCTGAGCATTCTCATCTCAGCAGCACAACAACAACAATAAGACTTTTATCCCACTAAGTGGGATGAGCAACATGAATCCTTTTTCTCCATTGTATCCTACTAAGTGTCATATTTTCATGAATCATTTTTCTCCATTGTATCCTACTAAGTGTCGTATTTTCATTTAATTCTAATAAATTAATATCATTTTTTATACAGCATGTCAAATTCTTTTTAGGTCTGCCTCTATCTTTCTTAGAATAAGTAAAATCTAAAACATCTAATCTCTTAACAGGGTCATCAGATTGCCACCGTTTAATGTAACGAAATCATCTAAAACGACTATCTCTAATTTTCTTTGCCACTGGAGCTACTCCAACACTTTCACGAATATATTCATTTTGCATTTTGTTCCTCACTGTAAAACCACTCATCCACCTAAGCATTCTCATCTCAAGAACACTTGACTTAATTTTATGCTTCTCTTTTACACGCTAACCTTCTGCTCCATAAAACATTGCAAGCCTCACCACCAACTTATAAAATTTTCATTTTAAGTCTAAGCGGTATTTTTCTATCACATAATAGGCTTGATGTGTTCCTCCACTTCAGCCATCCAACTTGAATTATGCTAAAACATCCCTATCCATATCACCATCGCTTTCAACAATATACCCCAGATATCTAAAACATTCACTCCTTTTAATGACTTGATCACCCATGGTTACAAACCTGCCACTAGATAAACTATTTTTAAAATTACATTCCATGTATTCAGTTTAAGATCTACTCAAAGAAAAACCTTTAGACTCTAAAGTTGACCTCCATAATTCATTTTTTTCTTGAACTCTCTCTTTTTCTTCTTATCCATGATAAGGATAACATCAGTGAAAAGCATACACTGAGGTACTCCTGTAAATGTCTGCAAAAAACATCCATAACAAAAGAAAAAAAATGGGCTTACAGTTAATCCCAAATGTAATCCAACTGAAATAAAAAAAATACTTGACCAATCCTCCTTATGCTTGAACACAAGTAACAGCCATGGCATGCACATCTTTAATGATTTAAATATAAGCAATATCAATACCTTTCTTGTTTGGGTTTTTATCATAAGTTTTTTCTAAATTAACAAAAATTATATGTAGATCCTGTTTATTCTCTCTATATTGATCCAACAAATCTCTCGATAAATGTATAGCTTCCATAGTTGACTTGCACAGCAATGGGATAGAAAATTACAAGCTTAAATGTTATAAGCATCAAGCACGAGAAAAATACCAAGTGCACCAAAAGAGAATGATCAAAACAATATTGATAGATCATATAATACTCCGTTATTCAAACAAGAGCTGAAGGGTGCATGTAGGCTTAAACGTAATACTATGCTAATGATTCCTGCAGTTGTCTTAAAATAAATAAAGGCACCTAGAGAAGGCAAAATGTAGGTAGAGGTGTTAAAAATGATAACTTCTCAACTCTTGAACAATTATAACCAAATAATCTAACGTATGGAAAGAGAAGTCCACAAACATCTCCTCTAAAAAAGCGCTTACCCAAAAGCTAATGCAGTTGCTGCTACTGACTTTGACCTGGAGGTTGTTGATTTGGAGGTGGAGGTGGTATCCCTGGTCTAGGAGGGGCAAAAATTGGCACCTGTCCGCCAGGTGGAGGCGGCATCCCGGGTCTTGGAGGTGGTGGTGCAGGCATCCCAGGTCTCGGTGGTGGTGGAATCCCCCTCATCATCTGTGGTGGTGGAGGTCCCAGTGGTCTCTGCCCAAATTGAGGTGGTGGCACAGGGAACTGGGGTGGAGGCCCTCCAGGCCGTCCAGGAAACTGCATCTGCCCCGGTGGTGGAGGACCTCGCCCTATCGGAGGAGGCTGGCCGGGGAATCCCGGCATCTGGCCAGCAGGTGGTGGCCGCACCTGTGGATAAGAAATAGGTGGCGCGGAGAGCTGGGGCAGAGGAGGTCGAGCAATCTGAGGCTGCATCATGCCAGGAGAAGGCCCTCCTATGCCACGCACAGGTCCAGCGAGGCCAGGCTGCGCGTGGATCAGCGGAGCGGTCGGAATGCCTCGGCCAGCAGCTCGACCAATACCAGGGCCTGCAAGGGCAGAAGCCGCTGAGGCCTTGGCACGGGATTCGTCTGGTGGAGGGGGTCCTTCCACAGTCATTGATACAACCTCCTCACCGCGTAGAAGAACGAGGCCAAGTGTGCGGCGGTCCTCGCGCTCCTCAGGAAGCCCCCCGCCACCCTTTTTAGAGCCCTTAGCCGGGGGAAGCTTGCGGAACTCCTCACAGTCTCCAAGGACAAGGTTCATGTGGCGATCGAAGGCCATGAACTTGCCGACGAGCATACGGCCGTCCTGGATGGTGACCCGCATACGGTAGTTGATGTACTGGAGCATCTTTGATCCCTTCGACATCGACATGGCTGCCGCGATTGGAAGAACCGTGGAACGATTTTGGCCGCGGAGTGGCCGGAATGTGGATGAGATTCTAGGGTTTTAGGCGGGCTGCGGAGACGGAGTGAGCTAGGGTTTTGCAAGTAAATTACCGAGTGGTCGTCCACGATGGATTAATGAAATTTAAATTCAAATGAAATGGTCAAATGAAATAATTTCATGTGAGTCATGTGAATTATTTCTTTGCTATTTTCATTTTTTGTATAAATATAAAACGTGATATGTAAGATGTTGTTGGTATTACTTATTGGTATGTGTATATATATATAAAGCATAGTTTAGGTATTACATATGTATAAAACGTGATATGTAAGATGTTGGTATTGCTTATTAGTATATATATATATATA